TCTGACATTCTCAATGTCAGTATCCTGATGGTTCTCTATCTACATCTGATTGAAGGGGTCAGATTTGGACATTTTCAAGCTGTGTTTTGTGGAGCCCTGGGAATTCTGTACAGGAGGGCAGAGAGGTACTGAACAGATTTTTAGCTTAACTTTTCCTTTGAACAAAGAGTTAAACTGCTAAAACAAGCTTGAAAACCACCACCCTAGTCTATGTAACAAAATTGATCCATGATGCTTGACTTTCTTTGATTTCTTTCTGGTACTTTTGTTTTTTCCCTTCATGATATATTTCGGTGTTTTATCCTCTCTACCAGTTGTGTTGGGTCAACAGAAACAGGTGGTATTTCTAACCTCAACTCTCTTGGGATTGAAAGAGCCTCCTGCTTTAAGCAGCCTCTTCAAAGTTACAGAAGAGCTGAGCTATTGAGTTGTTGGAAAAGTCATGACCTATTTTTGCAACGAAAAACATAGAAAAAATATGTCATGACTTTTCCGATGACCCAATAGATCTCTGCCCCTGGGGCACAGCTCCCTCTCCAGGACCAGACTATCAGAAGGTTTTTGCAGACTTTGGAAAACTTGGCTTAAAGTAGGTCAACAAGCCTGAGACACTGAGTATCTTCAAGATGATTTATTTAAGTTTGAAATGTTGACTAATATTTTTCACTAGAAAAGGCAAGTTTTTATATTGCTGATGTTTAAAAGCCAAGGGGCTTTTGTTGCTCCTTTATGAAAACAGGATGAGTCAATTTAACTCAGAAAGCCTTAGGCCTTACTGCAGATCTCTGCATAAAGTGGGTGTTTCAGACCTTTGGAAGTTATTACATTTTGAATGTCTTAGAAAAATGTGTGGACAGACAGGTAAGACACCGAAAAGGGGAAATTGAAGAGAAATTCCGCCCAAGCCCAAGTTCATTACAATGAGCACCATAATTAAAAATTTTAAAAACCCTTGGTGTAAGTAAGCAGGACATGCCAAAAGTAAAAATAAGCTTTTTAAATGACAGTCTGCTGAAGCTGGAGATATTGGAGTTTCTATTTTCATTCATGCTTGAGAGTCCTGGTCTTCTTCGTCTTAAATCGCACAAAAATACCACAGTGGGACTCAATTTAAGGCACAGAGACAGAAATACAGACAGGTTAGAAGATCTCTTATGTGTCCTGTGTGCTAAATATATTGTTAACTAAGAGAAAAAAAAATCATTTGTTTAAAAATACTGGCCCACAAAGCACATAAAGCAAATAAGCCCTTTTTCTGTGAGAAAGAAACAGTTAATGTCACTGTGCGATGACCACACGTCTGGGCTCTAGAATCTGGGCCATGCGGACATCACTTTAAGGCTGTGTGACAAGAGTACATGCACAGCTCAGAGGAGTGCTGAGGCTGACAAAGAAGGTGTTGGCAATAGATAACTGTCCGCAAGAGAGCCCCAAAGCCACACTGCGTGGGTCTTCCCTCCCTTCCTAGAGCTGAGCCTCTCGCTGCCCGAGCCCTCAGCGCTCCTCTCCACCGTCAGCTTGAAATGTCCACAGACCCTGAAATCAGCAAGTCAGCAGCTATTTCCTGCGTTCGTCCCTCTGTCTCTCGGTCTCTCTTTCTCTCTGCCACCCTCTTCTCTCCACCTCCTTTTGAAAGACGCGCTTTTCACAGCGTCAGCACACAGGGACACCTGGTTTGTGATGAGGCTGCCTCCAGGCTCTGGGTGCCCAGAACTTGGCTGGCTTTTGATGAGCTCCCCTTTCTTACCACACCTAACGGAAAAGGAAGCCTCCGCACATGACCATGACATGGGTGCAAACCCTAGTCTTCCTCCATCGCCCGGGGTTTAGGAGCTTTGGCTGTACTGGGCCAGCTCCACGCGGGAGCAAGGCTGGGTTTTGCCAGCCACTCCCCCAGCTGTCGTTTTAGCACAGGTGAGCCACCTCCTTCCTCGGTAGAACTTCAAAGCTTCAGGGTTTTCCTCTTGGGCTTCTCTCTCTTCGAAGGCCAAATTGCAGGAATCAAAGCTCTATGTCCACATTTCCTCCATTCTCTTCTCCGTCTCCAAATCGTTTCTGTATAATCACTCTCCACAGACAATTCTTATCAAAGGAAGGTAAAAACGTTGCCGCTTGTGGGCCATTAAGATCAAAACCTTCTTGCCTTTCTGTCCCCTGAAAGCGTTTGAGATTGTGGCTGAATGACAAAATACTGAAAAATCAATAAAAGAAAGCCAGTTCTCTTTTGTGATAAGAAGAGGAAGTCCATGAAAACACACACGGGAAAATACACAGGATAATGTTGCAATCCACTGAGCTCATGTGACAACTATGGACCTGTCACTATACAGAGTCTCCCTGAGACTAAAACTTACTGTAAAAATGATGTGCTTGTGAAAATCTTTTTTAAAAGTGTTTTTCTTTTTTTTTAATTTCAGTTATTTTTAGGCTGTGCTAACAATTATAGATGCTAATTAGAGCAAAAATGAATTCAATAAGACAAGTTTTCAACAAGAAGGTGAATTCAGACAAATCGCTGATAAGTAGCCATGATTCCTCCCATAAGAGCTATTAAAGGATTCTTACCTACTATTAACCCTTTTAATCCTCCTAGAAACCTTTTCAAATAAATACTATATCTACATTAGTGAGAAAAAACTAGAGATTAGTGAGATTAAGAAATACAGTTTGTAAATTGGAAAACCAGCGGAATCTGGGTCTCTCTGGACCCAAATGTAACTGTTTAATGTTCTCTGCTGCCTCTTCATGTGTAGATAACTTCAGAGTTCATAAAAAAGGAAAGAATGGTAAATTTGCACTGTAGCATTGAAATGATTATTGCAGTAATTGTTGAACTGCACAATACAGTACTCAAAAAAACATAATGTAATCTGTGTTCATGCTGTTACTCTATTTACATAAACTCCTTTGATGGAATTTTCCATGAATACCAACTGCTTTCATTTTAAAATTTGAATGAATTATTTTAATTTTTAATAAGTTTATGGATGCCTATTTCAAATCTCATACATGTAGGTTTTCTGACTTTCTTTGTCTCTGAATATTTTTTTCTAGGGTCAACGTCTTTTCGAAAAGTTACTCCAACTGACTTCGCAAAATATTGAAATCAAGCTAGTGAGTGATGTAACAGCTGATTCAAAGGTATTAGAAGCCTTGAAATTAAAGGGTAAGGCCAAGGTTGATATGCTACTCTACCCCTGGTATTCTGTTAAGATACTTTAATTTCACTTACTACAAAGTTTCTTTATAATCAACACATTTCACGTAGTATACTTATTTCTTTCTTGAAAAATAGCCTGATTAAAGCTTTTTAGATGAAAGAGCTAATTAATCAATACTACTGGGATTCTTTTTAATGGTGGTGTTGCATATTAGTGTACGCAAAGTAATCTACTGGCCATTAAATGATAATTAACTAGAAAGAAGAATCTTTCCCCCTCAGAACACTTCAATGAATGCAATTAAAGAAAAGAGCCACTTCTCATCAGAACAAACATTGGATTTCTGTTTTTCTCTTGCTCATCAAAGGGAAACCCCCTTCCTGCTGCATTTAAAAGGCTACTGTCAGATGCAGGAGTCTGGGGAACCCTGCCTGATTCAAGACTTTTCAGATAATTTCCGAAGAGAGCATCCTTCATGAGCCACTTTGTAATTTGTCTCACAAACCAGAGAAGACTGGGAGGAATTCTGAAAGAACTTTTCATCTTGCTATAATCTTCACTAACTGAACTCTCACTTCCAAATATTTTTAACTGATTTACAAAAAGTTTTACCCTCTGTTTACTATCTGAACTGTCAGCCTCTGGAAGGAATCAGTCCGTGTGAGCCAGTGAGAAAATGTCCAAGCTGCCGGGCACCCCTGGGGGAGGGCAAGGCATTGACCTCAGAGAGTCAGTGTTTCATTTTATGGCCTTGCATCTCACCTTGGTGCTGTTCAAACATACTGGGCGTTTTGCTTGGCATCTTCCCCTCATTCTTATATTATATTTATATTATGATGAGCACGTGTACCTACCACTATGCATATTGTTTTTTCTATGCATAAGGAGAAAAAGAAAACTTAGGAGAGAATGCTAGCTCTGAAAAGCTTCACTAC